CATTGACAAATATGCTGATAACCAATCAGAAGCAAGGATTTCAGTAGCTCATAACAAAATCTGTCGTTTGTCACTGATGAAGAAAACAAATTGTGAAACGCCGCCCCCCCCCCCGAGTTTATGGCTTTGTAAATGACGAGTTGACTCATGATTTTCAAAAGAGGCGCTTGAATATACAGTCATTTTTTATGTTTTAACTCCCACTCTCAACTTTCACCATCATGCTTCCTTTTGTTATCATATGACAGGTAACGCATCCTTCTAAACCCTTAAGTTCACATATGCTTCTGAATTGACGTGTCTTTCTCCACACTTACGTGCCTAAAGAATGTGATTGTCCCATATGTCTTTGTTGTTTGTTACATATAACTTGTTGGCTCTTTCAATATTATTATTCTTTTGGAAGTTAAATTCCCGCATTATTTTTTGCTTCGATGAATCAACGCTTTTCTGTATTTAGTATATGTATGAATTGAATTTGGTCGTGAGGTATTCGCTTATCTTTTGGGGAAGGTTTTTTCTTGTATGCTGACTTGAATTATATTAGCCAACAAATTATGAGAACACTTTCAAATTATTTATTTTTGTCCCCGTGATTGATGATTTTTCAAAAGGGGCTAAATATGTAAAATTTACTGTTATACAGTTAAACAGTTCTAAGTTAAAATGATTACTAAGATACTTCCATGAAACAAATTCGAAGTGGAAATGGATGTTTGATTATTGGTTTGATAAACTGGGTGGTAATTTGGTTACACAAAACTGTAAATGTGAAGTATTATAATAACTATTTCACCCTGAAAAAAGCTAGACAAATGGAAGGATGGTGCTATTTATAAATTGTCTACGATGAATGTGTGACGGTGTGAAAGTGCAAGGATATAATGGTGTAAAAAAAAAAGATTTAAATCTGTTATAACATTTGAGGAAATAGTACTGACTAGTTGTATAATAGGTGTGGGTTGTAAGAGTGTGGAGGTGTAAAGATGTGAAGGTGTGACGGTGTGAAAGTGCAAGGATATAATGGTGTAAAGGTGTGAGGTGTCAGGGTGTAAATGTGTTAGATGTGAGCATGGTAGGGCGCTGTAGTTTTGCTAGCGTTTGAAGAGGTATGATAATGTGGCGTGCATAGATTGGAGAAAGGGATAAAGATTTGGGGGTGTGAAGATGCGAGGAGGTGAAGATGTGAGGTGTGGTGTGTAAGGGTAAGAAGGTGCGAGGATGTGTGGTTTAAATGTGTAAGATGTGGTCGTGTAAGGATTCTGTGTTTTTGCAACGGTTTGAAGTGGTGTGAATATGTGGCTTGCATAGATTGGAGAAAGAGAGAGAAACGTTTTTGTTTAAAGCTCGAACAAATATGAAGATACCATTTTAATACGAAAGGGCAAAATATCGACCTTGATAACGAAAAAGGAAAGGGGGTAACAACGGTTGAAGAGTAATTTTAGCTTTCATATACCGTATTCTGTAACGAATGCATGAACGTTTAAAAAAAAAATCAGATATTTGAATATTTTTGAAAGGGAATATTACTAACGGAATACTAAGGTAAATGTTATTGGCAATAAAACGTTATTTACATGTCGGGGCATGTAAACATATCGATTGACCAACATTTCCGATAGGCGAAACATTCTGAAACCTATCATTATAGACTTACATGTATATGTATACATACACATATATGCCTATAGAAAAGCCCCGTATTATAAATTAGTATTAATGACCCCATTTTTCAAAAAAAATTAACTTCCATATTACTTTTCCGATTTTGTTCATTTTCTCAACCAGATTTCTAATACGATCTGAATCCTATGAAGGGTAAATTTCTTTTGATTCTTTGTTCTAATGGGACTGAGATTCAAATACTGTCGCCTACGTGTTGCAACATGAATGGATCTTGGTATGATTGTACAAAACTGTAAAGCGCATAGAGAAATTCACAATTTATTATGCGCTATATAAATATACTATATTATTATTATTATTATTCTGACATCACATGGTTTGGTTCCATTGTTCATCTCACGTGTGATGATGGATACAGGTTGAATGGAAGTGGGACACTGCAGTGTGTTCCAGGAGTCAGACTATCGCCAGAATTGCCCATATGGAATGCATCAGCCCCGACGTGTGATCGGAATACAGGTAAAATAAAATTGGTAATTTACTAAGGAATTACCACGAAATAAATATCGGGCGCGCATCGACATGGAGCGGGTGCATGTAGGAGGTTAATGAGCTAGCGGCGACCCTGGATGGGGGCAAAATAACGCAATGGAAAAGGGCGCAAAAAAATATACAAACGTAAGAGAAATGAGAATGGGGAGAAAAGCAGAATGCATCCCCTGCATATGAAGGGAAAATCATACTTCTTCGGAATAATTTTTTTATTGGGAATATTCATTGCGTCCCATCTATAGAAATAGAAAACTGTTTATCGAGGGTTCAAAATTAAAATCAATGCCCCCGGGATCCATAATATATAAATACGCCATTGGTAAATGGATATTTAATGGGTTAAATCACATAGGACTACGTTAGTTTTAAAGAAAGCAGAACGATCTAAAGTAAGCGCTTACCCAGGGCTGTTCGATATTTTGTGTTGGGGGGAGGAAATGGGATGGGGGGGGGGGGGGAGGGAGCTGACGAGCATGGGGTTTCGGAATTTATTTTCTACATGTGCCTCACAAAAAAATAAAATTAGGAGGGGTACCTGGAGAAATACGAGAGAAGCTTGAGTCATTTTATCCTCACTTAAACCGCTATTGCATGCGCTAACATTCTGTACAGTTAAAAAGAACAAAACAATTTTACTCGATATATTGGCCTGGAGTTCTGATATTTTTTTCTCTCTGTGCCTCGTCATTTGTCTTTCATTTTGTTTTGTCTTGATACATGATACTTGATAAATGTAGTATTTTATTAACTTTTTGGTATATCCTTCTTAACCGTCTATTCCTAATGTTTTGTCCGATATTGCTTACATCTTCCTCAGGAAATTTATGTAAGATACATGTACTTCTGAGAGCATTCACAAAATTGAGCTAAAGCGCTTAGAAACATTTGTGTGAAAGCGCTTTTAAAATACAATTTATTATTATTGTCATTAATAGTGTTGTTATTATCATAATCATAATTGTACTTTATTTCAATAATTTGATATGAAGATTTTGTTTTTGTGCAAAAAGGTGAGTCTGTTTTTAAACCAGTGACAACACAAGGCCTACATACAACGGCACTATCAGGTAAAATTATGTTTTATTTTGTTCACACCTTTGCATTGTAATATCATGGGTACCCAACATGCAATGTTTTAAAAAGGGGTTCGACCATGATTGAGTGGAATTCAATTTGCGAAAGAATGTCCTCCCATCCATTGTAATTAATACCCCCCCCCCTAAAAAAGGTATGTATATATTAATATATTTAATAAAAAAATCATATATAAATAAATAAATGAATAATTATGAGAAATAATTAAGAGAGTAAACAAAAAGAAGATATATACAAATACTCACCAAATTTCTTAAGTCCTGAAGCACGTTTATTCAAACAAGATATACTGTAGAGACAGTAAAAGTGAAAGAGTTTGGCCATTGGTGTCACTCAGTCACTTTCAAAGCTCATCAATCAAACTTTGCTTTCCAATGATAGTGGAAGTTTCGCTTATGTACGATGGTTTTGCCTCTTATAAATTGCACTTAAGCAATTTAAATACTTTGTCTATCTTTTCAAGGGCCTTTTAACACTCGATAATGAAACTTCGAATCTAAATTAGTTCTTTTCTATCCGTTAATTTTTAAAGTGACCTTGATCAATTGACCAAGGACGCGAAATGTACCATTTCCCACGCTTCTCTTAATTAAATAATTCCTATACTTTTGATACTATACATCATATATTTACGTGTACTGTTACATCTACATCATTATATCAAATGCTTTTGAATAAAATACATAGTAAATTTTACTGGATGTTCTATAAACTGCACAGTAATGCACATGCCATGCATTCTTAAAACTTGTTTATTATGCATACCGTCTTCAATAATAATGACAAAATGGTTTGAACTCTGCAACCGTTCCTTCTTATTATAAATTCATCAAGTTTGTAGAAAAGTGTATCTTCTATTTAGGACACATGAATTGTTAATTGCGATAACACTCTTGATAGCTCTCCCGAACTGAATTGAAGTTTAATATGACACTGAAACTTAATATTTCTCTTTAAGATAATATTGGAAATGTACAATTGGTGTTCAAATTCAAACTGTATAAACGTGTAGTTTTATTCCTTTAAATACTATTTATAGACATTACTTTCATCTATAATGAAGACGATACATCAACGGATGAAGGTTAGTGCAATTTATCTCTTGACATCATCATCTGAAACTATGAAACCTGAGATCTCATTGGAAAACAACTTTCTTTTTCTCTCTCAATAAGACTCATTTGAAGTAGTGGACGTTTGACAAAACTTCGATATTAATTTTCTTTAATAATAATAATAATAATAATATAAATTTATAACGCGCACGTATCCGGAACTTCCGATCAAGGCGCGACAGACAAAAATGAAACACTTTTTGTCAAATCGACAAAAGACTTTCGTTTTAACATCTCTATTCAATCTAAACAAATATGAATAATCGTTAGCAAGATAACTTAGATAAGGGACAATACATTTAAACGTGTGTTGATAATGCAGCGCACTGAATAATGATATATATATTTTGATTAATATTGATCAATAATCCAGTCATTCGTCACCTTAAAAGTCCAGTCATACGGACATGTCAGAAATTAGACTGATAACAATCCGAATAAACATACATTGCACCGCATGACAAAGAATATGTCGGCTTAGAATTGGTTTCGAGGTGTGAATGAAGGATAAATGTTCTTTTTAGAATAAGTACTTTTTTATTAAAATGAAGATTTGAAAATGGATCAATATAGGCCTACATTTAACTTGTTTTTCTTCTAATCATGTAGATTGTCAATTCACCGTGAAATCTACCATCTTGAAGCACGTGCTCATGGGATCTACGTATGGCCTGGCAGCTATCATTGTCATCATAGTGATATACTGCATCACAACTCAAGTCAGACAGCATCTCTCTTTAGAGAGACAAGACCCTGCCTCACAGGTAATACCACCCCCCCCCCCTCCAAAAAAAAGACAACACTTTTTATCGCCCTTATCAATACGGTTGCTTTCTTCGCCTTTCTACATGATCTCTCGTTTGCTACACGTTCAGTTTTGCACAAAACAATAAAGCACCAACTGAAATGAGGATTATTTTGTGTTACATAATGGCAATTTTCGATCTTCATTAAGTCCAAAACAGCTAGACCGTTTAACACCGGTATAGATTAATCATCCACTGGGAACAGTTAATCATCTTCAAGCCTTTGGTATATCTTTCCAATGATACATACACAATGGAGCGAGAGAGCTTATTTAGGTGGCATATAAAGAGTTAGACAAACATGAAAAACCGTCTGAAAATGAATAAATGAGATCACGAAATATGGGTAAACACTGGGCCAATCAGGGGCCAAACTGTAGATCAGAGAAAAAGAAAATTAAAATGACATTTTTAATACATGTGATGTAAGCAATACATGGTAAATATGTGAGATTTAAACATTTCCCGAACTGGAATATTTTCTTTAATAAGTTTTCTTTGAAATTCTTTGACATGTGTATTTATCTATTTCATAATACTTTAAAAGCTGATGTTTAGATAAAGTTAATTCATTTCGTTATTTAGCCTACAACAGTTTTAGTCTTACAACCATCCGAATATAATTCAGTACATGATCCCAACAATTTTGTTTTTTGTTTTGGTTTGTTGATATCATCCTTACTCCTGTGAAATAACAAGTGTTCAAATTTAGAACATATATTTCCTTTACGTTGATTCTCGAATCAACGTTTTAAAGCTATTTATGGTGGCATAATAAAGACAAAGTGTTTTGCTCCGGGGTTTTGCTCTACTAGTACATGGTATGAGGTAAAACCAACGTATTAATTCAGAATGGGTTTATGGCACATGTTCCATTATGAAATGTTTTTGAAATGTGGTATGAAAAATAATTGAAATTGAATAATGTCCGTAACTGAATTATTTGTATTATATACAATGGAGGGATATATATTGTATAATGATGCACCCGGGCATTTTTCACATCTTAATTTCCATTTTTTTTCTTCCACATCGCCAATAGATTTCTCACACTACTTTGGATATAACGCTGCCCATCCAGCAAGGAAACGCTGACGTTGGTCGGGTGACGATCAGAACGGATTCTGTGTTATACGAGACCATCTCTGACGAAACACTCGGGGCGCAATCTAGAAGGACAGAGGGGGAGCAGGATACAGGGGAAGATCCATTTGGATACATCATTCATGATCCACAACCGAATTGGAATACAAAGGCCACAGCTGATGGCGCGTGGGATCCTCGAAGATATCCACGAGCACAAGTTCAAAGGCAACATGAATTACATGCAGGTGGATACCTTGTGCCAAACGTGTTGCAACGAAATTAACCTCTCTCCTCGCGGCAATAGTGAATGCAAGAAAGTCGTACATGCTTTAAATGCTCGTTATGTGATTGTGACAAATGCCACGTTCCCCAGACATTTGTTTCGCAAAACGTAGAAGGAAGACAGCGAAACGATGGCACAGTCACAACAATTTAGACAGGTTGCTAGTAGATTCAACTTTATTGGTTAAATTCTCACCCAAGTTGGTCAACACTGCATATCAGCAGAGCGTCAGAGGAGAATAGGAGAAACAGCTTGAACTATAAATGAGGACTTTTCCAAATTACCAGCAGAGTCTGAACAGCCCCATAGCAGCACGAATCCATCCATAGGAGTTTCCTGCAGTATAATTCATTATGACTACCTAGCTACCATTGACGATCTATGTGAAAACAGCAAAAGCCATAAACACATGCCCCGACACATCGTTTGTAACTCACAGATTACCAGAACAGTGGTGGGGTGACCGACAATGATACTCAGTTAGTTGGTATCAGAAAAGCCCTCCTAGTTCAAAAGCACTTACAGCATCTGTCATATCTAAAAGTCACTCGCGCACCCATCCAGTATTGGTCTTGTTGAAAGAGGTGTACAGACAGTGAAGTTCGGGATGAAGAAAACAAAACATGTGGGCACGGCTTTGAATCTTAGTGTGACCAGCTGTCAAGAATTATCTGTCACACCAGCAGTTTCTGTAAAAGAAAAAGAGTCAAAAATAGGCCGGTCGATTTGCTTCTTTGCTGCTCAGATGATGCTTTGTATCACTAATCTACTAAAAAGAACTAAAGTAAATAAAATCTGTAAGTATTAAACATAACAGATTTGTGGAACACACGAGGTAATAGTTTGGAAGCAACTAGATATAAAGACAAGTCTGACCCGTATATATAGTGATTAAAACAGTTGGAATGTTCTATTTATTTATTAAGATCGAATTACTTAATTTGAAACAGGTAATATCGCATTGAAATTTACAATGATCTTTATTCCAACTGTTTAATTACTATTTCTAAAACCGTGACGGAGTAATGTTCTAATTGAATTTGTTGTTATATATGATAAACATATGTATAGGCCTATATATATATATATATATATATATATATATATATATACACACACACACACACACACACACACACACATACACACTCTCTTATATATACATAAAAGACTGTCATTCCCAAAAGGACTAAATCCGATTTTATTTTTTTATTTTTTTATTTTTTATATTTTTTATCATGTACTTAGAATTGTTAACTGTTACTTAAAAAAAAAAAACGCTTTAGATGCTTCCTTCCAGAAAGAATTAAATACGGAAACGTTCTTTAAATTTCATTGACAAATTTCACTGATCATCAAATATGGTATGGCTTAGTCACCATATCTACAATAACCAGAATTTAGCTTAAAGATACTGTGTCCCTTTTGCAGCCAACCTCAAATTCTGTAGAACTTTGCAGGAATTATAAATATGTAATTTTTGTCCTATCTGTGAAAAAACGTTAGCAGTGTCCTAATATTCAAATTATGCAAGGAAAGCTGTCAGACACTATTGTCAGTATTGGGTGACTGACTGGCTTTTTTTCTTCTGTGGTAATAACATACATAAAATTAGCTGTAAAGGATTTGTCTACATCAATAACCCACTTCTTGTAATGGCCAAAATTAAACTGATTGATCTTTGCGCAGCATAAAACGTACGACCATGCGGTACAATGGTCTGAAAATCAAGACTATTATTTATTGGCTCTACAGCTCCTTAGTCGATTTGACAACTAATAGTCATTATTTTTCCACTTAAAGAAATTTTCAAGCCCCCCTTTTTTAAGGAGAGTTCTAAATTAGTATTATCTTTCAAATTCCATTGGAATTTAACGTTTTCGTTTTTTTGGCCTGCAAATGGGACATAGTACCTTTAAGGACATGTGGTTTAAATGAACAAATTCGTAACCACCGTACGGGATTTAGTCCGTTTCGGAATGAAGCGATTTTGAGTGTAATCCACTGTCGAAATCATTCTTCAAATTCAATATATCATGCAGGGATTCCAATGTGTCAGATCCACATATTCATCTTAAATCTGTTTGGTCAAAAGTAGATTAACCGCCATTTTAAATTAAGCTCTTCGTATATTTCAAATCAAAATAAATTGATGCAATTAAAGCCGATTAATAATAAAGAGGCAAGCCAATAACGTTAATGCACCGCTAGGAGATATGTAAGCATAAATAGTTGGGTCCACCCTTATAGACCTTTACATTAGTTGATATAAAACTTGAATTGGGACTGCGTTTACCGTATTTTAATCATCTTAATTTATTTTTTTTCTTTATGTATCATCCTCATCTTGTCATTCTGCTTCTGTTTCTGATTTGTTTTTTGTCTCGTTAATTGTTTGTTTTCATCGTCTTTCATGTTTTTTTGATTCCGTAATTTTTTTCAAGATCAAGTTATAAATGTATAAAGTTTAATTATTATTGTGCAAACCTACACCTTACTTTCTCAGCATTGCTTTTAAGTGGGTTCGTTTTTTTTTCTTCTTCATTTTCTGTAACCAAATAAATTTGCATTACAAAGATATTTCAATGCTTATTTCTGTTATATACGTTTATTATTGTCTGTCATTGTTTATATTATATGAAAATAAATGAAAAATAAATAATAATAAATAAATAAATAAATAATGATTACTACTACTACTACTACCATTATCAAGACCACATTCTTCAAGAATGACAATCAGAGGCGTCGATAAAAAGAGGGTGTGGGGAAGCAGCACCCCCCCCCCCTCCATCAGAATTGTGTCGGTAAATTTGCACTGCCGTCGGGAAAATGAGAAACAGGGGAGGGGGAAATGAGAGGGAAAGAAAAAGAAAAGAAAAGAAAAAAAGGAAAGGAAAAGAACAAAAAGAAAGGAAAGAGAAGAGAAGAAAGAAAGAGAAGAAAAAAAAGAAAAAGAGAAAGGAGAGGGAAAAAAGAAAAAGAATAGAAAGGAAAAAAAAAGGGAAAAAAAAAGGAGGAAAGGAAAATAAAAAGAGAAAATGAAACAAAGAAACGGGGAGATGAAAGAGAGGAGAGAGAGGGGTATTGATCATGATAGAGGAGAGAGTCGGAGTTAGAGAGAGAGAGGGGGTTGTTGGCTGGAGTCGTCTCGTCGAGGGAGCAAGAAAGATACGCATAGATAATGTTGCTTTGTCGGGTCAGCTGTCTAGGTATTCTCGCTCGATCCTCGTGTACTATATCAATGCAGAAGTTTGAATTACTCGGTGAGATGTATAATATCTGTAGACGATTGATTTAAATATGCCTCCTCTATCTACAACATTTTTAACTGATTTGACAGTATTTAAAAAAATTAAATTAACTGAAAATAAATTATGTCATGTTGGGAGTGTCTCTAGAGAAGGTTGTACTAATGCAGTAGTGTACCTAAAGGTGATGTATTATTTCCCACCTAATTAATTCGATGTTATCTTATTTTAACGAAATCCTTTATGCAATTGTAAATTGAAGTTGCTTCAATTTACAGTTAGTTATTTTTAAATTACCAAAGAAGGGATCCCTAAAAACTGCAATAACTGGCTTGGCATCACACTATTGTCAATATCAAGCAAAATATTGGCAAAGATAATTATTACACGTATCACAGATGCCGTTGACCAAAGTCTCAGAAGGGAACAGGCAGGTTTTCGGAAGGGAAAAGGGTGCACTGACCAAATATTTTAACTACGTAATATCATAGAGCAATGCACAGAATGACAGATGAAACTTTATATTTATGTTGTTGACTTTGAAAAAGCATTCGATAGCATACACCGAGAGAGCCTTTGGAGAATACTACGCAAATATGGGATACCAGAGCAGCTAGTTCATTGGAACTGTCAGGCACGATGGAGGCGCAGGCAAAGACATTAAGAACCGTCCTAACAAAGCCAGAATTGCATTCAGAATGCTCAATAATATAGAACACAACAGTACAGCACTAAGACCAAGCTAAAATTGTACCAGAGCTGTGTCCGTTCCACTTTTATTTACTGCTCTGAATGTTGGAGAATGACGAAAAACGACCTCAATATGTCGCATTTTCAGGCCAAACACCATTTCAAATGAAGCACTGTAATATGCCTAATGCCATCAAGACAGCATGGAGAACTTTATCACGAGAAGAAGATGGAGATGGATCGGACATGTAATGAGAAAGAACATAGATGATATCACACGAACAGCCCTCCATTGGACACCACACGGCAAAGGAAATAGGGGACGTCCTAAAAAACACTTGGCGAAGAACATTTACTGTGGAAGAGGAGATTAAAGACCTAAACCACACATGGGGAACCATCCAAAGACTAGCCCAAGATCGGAAGGAGTGGAAGACTTTTGTTGCTGCCCTGTGTGCCAGCTAGAGGCATAATGGGCAGTAAGTATAGTAAGCAAGTAAATTGAAGTTGCGGGGATGGGTGGAGACTTGTTTTATCTCTTACCCTTATTAACGAGGGGGGGGGGGGTGAATCCAGAGAGGAAAAAAGTGGGAATTTAGTTGGTCAGGAGCATCCTCTGGAACTAATATATCTGTGGTGTCTTCAGGAAAGACGAGATAAATTGTCAATGAGTCTTGGTAACGGCCTAAAAAGACCGTTATCAAATTTTAGTCACTGGCTCCCTCTTTTGTGATTAACTCTAAGCAAGCAATCACTGTATGATATCCAAACATCTCCTGCAATCTTTTGAAAGATTAAGATAGAGGGAGAGAGGGAAGAAAAGAAAAGGAGAAAGAGAGAGAGAGAGAGAGAGAGAGAGAGAAGGAAGGGGATAGGAAGGAAGTCAGGGAAATATCAATACCAACTGTTGACTCGGTAAAAAACAGCCCAAGTATCCAAACATTGATTATAGACATTGTAAT